GGGGGGGGGGTGGAGGGGAGGATGGGAGGGGGTCGGTGGTCGGCGATCGTGCGAACGGGCTCGATCTTTTTGTCGCTCGGTTTTCAACCGCTCGTTTTTCACTCCGTCGCCCGACCGTGCGCGCTACGAGCATCGATTTCCGCGTAACACCGTTTTTCCATGAATCCAACCGCGTTGCGTGATCGCGTTCCCTACCTTTAACGACACGTGCTCCGGATCGCGTTCCCATCAGTCTCGTTATCGCACTCTCGATTCCCGTCCGCCGTTCCGTTCCGTTCCCCGATATCGCGTTTCTTCTTCTCTTCGCGCTTACGTTCTCTTCCTCTTTCTTCTTCTCTTCGGCAAGACGGTTCTCTTCTTGACGAACATATAATAAATAAATCCCGCGTTCTTCGCGATCTTCTCGCGATTGCAGATAATTGTTGGAGATTAAAAGGAATTGGCGATTCAACTATGGAACATATGGAAAATTGTTATCAATGGAGTCATCGTGATCGCACGGTGTCCCGCGTTAATCCACCGATTCGAATCGATCCGTTCGTAAGACGTTTGAACAATTCTTTCTATCTTCCCTTACGATATTCGCGTCTTCTTCTCGAATCGATCGTTCGAAGCTAAATTCCGATTCCATTTCCAAAGGATTCGAATCGGTTTTTCGAAACAAAGAAAAGTCAAATTTTTGTTTGTCTCGACCAATTCCTTTCCGCGAAACTGGCGAGCAATGGATGGTTGGAGGAATTATTCCGTTTAAAATAATTGAAATCGCGACACGGGTGGAAAGGTTGGGAAAAAGAAGCAGGAATATTCCGTGGTTGGCCGGTCGCGCGCTGATCGAAGCGTGACGAGCGGTAATTGAATGTAGGTATGGCATTTGCATTGACAAGCTCCAACAGAGATAATTCGAATCTCGTCGAACGCAACGGTCCACACGGGCGTTAGGTCGTTTGTCAATACGACGACGGCCGTCCGGTTTCCACCGTTTCCACCGTTTCGCTGTTTGTCACCGTCTCGTCGACGATCGTTCCGCCGCTCAATAACGCTACTTCTCTCTGCCAGCTCGCGCGATTCATTCCGCGGACCTCGTTGCTGTTATTCAAATAAGCGACAGACCGGTTGGGGTACCGTGGCGCCACGGCCACGCTTCCATCCTTTCCGTTCGTGTCGTTCCATCCCGTTCCCCGTCACCCTAATGCGCTTCCAAACGCGCCCCTCCGCCCCGTTCCTCCATTCTCGATCGAAAATTTCCTTCGATCCCGTTAAACGTTTTTCCCCGACCCGACGGGAATTTTTCTCCTCTCCGCGGAGAGGGGATAAGAATTTGACGAGTAGTATATTTCCCGACGATGTATAAAGTTTGTCGCCTCGTGAACCCAGTGAAAGGATTTTTTTTTTTTAAATCGTTACTACAAGTTTTCCTCGCGACGTTCTCGAAGAATTTGAGGAAAGAGCGGACGATAATTCCGTCCAATGAAAGTTGGGACGAAGGACGAACATTTGTCTGGAATTTGAGAGAAGAATTGATCGAAATTACGAAGTAGCGATGAAAATTCATTGAAAATATCATAATCGAGGGACAAAGTTGAAGGAAGAATTTTCTAAGAAAATATGTAATAATAAATTGTTGCGTATCGTTTACGAAGAACGGGACGAAAAATCGGTGGACGCGTAACGGGCAACGCCTCCTTGGAAGTGTTCTCTCGATTCTTCGGCCAGTCGATCGAAAACGGCAGACACGACGAGTCGGTATACACCGGACCGACGTACGCTACAATGGAGCTTCACTTTCGAAAATCAAACAGAGAGAACCGCCAGGCCGGCGCATCCTCGCAGCTGCACTGTTTGTACGAACGTGCAAACAATGGAACTACCCATTTCCTGTGCGAATATATCCTGACGATAGCCAGCCGGTCGCGGACTTGCCGCCAGGCAAACACGTACAATGACGCGTGCGGATCTCTCCCAAGATCGATACTTGCTCGCGTTCCTCGATCTTTAATACTTCTTCGTCGTCGTTTCGTTTAAAACTCGTCGCTCTTCTCCATTCGCGCCCAACTTCGAATCTATTGTTCCTCCTCGAAAAGAAAAAGAAAAGAAAGAAAGAAAGAATCGAATCGTTCGAATTTTTGTACTTCTCGAGTGCGCACGAGATCGATGACGGACTTTCCAACTTTCCAAATTCTATTTTTTTCTTCCGCGAGCAGCAACGAGAAACAGGAGGAGGGGAGTAACAGCGTCCCAAAACCGCGAAACCACTCGACGAGGGTGGTTTCGAGTCGAAAAACACCAACGATCCCGCTAATCCGGCTCGAGTGTCGGCCGAATTCTCGATATTAAATCGCTGGCCCTCGACCTCGTATCGGCGGATAAACGATGCAGGGAGGAGAGGGGGGGAACTCTGGCAAACACTGGAGGAGGAACAATGACGATGACGCTTCGGCCCGTCTCCTCATTAACTTTCGACTAATTAAACGCAACGGCGCTCGTTACGAGGCGAGACGACGGTCGCGCGAATTTGGGCGCAAAGCGAAAGAAAAAAAAGTGGGCGGCGGTGAATCGGTGGCGAGCGAGCGAGCGAGCGATCGATCGATCGATCGAGAGAGGCTCGGTTCCGCTCCGCCCCGCGGCGAGCCGTCGGTCCGTCAGACGCACGCGAGCCACACCGCAAAAGGGTCGAAACCTGGGGGAGGAATGAGAGGCTGGGGAGAGCGAGAAGCGCGGAGAAAGATAGAGGGGGGGGGAGAAGGAGAAAGATGGAGCGGAGGTTGAGAGGAAGGGAGAGAGAGAGAGAGGGTTAGGGGTCCGGTGGGAGATAAAGCGATAAAGAGGAACGGAGGAGAAAGAGAACGAGAGACGAAAAGAGGCAGAGGGTGAGAGCGAGAGGGAGAGGAGAGCGGAGGGTCGTGGGACGGACGGAGACGGGCGACCGCTCGCGGAAGGAGTGGGGTCGCTCACGGGGTGTGAGAGGAACCAGGAAAGGGGAAAGGGATGCTGCGTGTGTTGGCATGGACCAGTGCGTCAACGGCTGTTGCCTCACACGAACCGCCGAAATTATAGTTAGTGGCCCCGACGGGTGTTCCGAGGAGAGACTACGACCGCGACTACTACCAAAACACGCCAACCTTCCGCGAGGATTCCTTCGATTCTTCGTTCCAACCCTTCGGTTCCCCTTCGAAAGGAAAGGAAAGGAAAGGAAATCGACATCGATCCCGATTTGCGTCGACGTTCGTCGCCCAAGATCGACGACTCCGATCGGGACTTTGGTGGTGAATCGGCTGTTGGTTTTTTTTTTTTTTTTTTTTTTTTTTTATGGTGAATCGAGTAATAGCAGCGGCAGCAGTAGTAGCGCGTGAACGATGATCGAGAAGATCGAGGGACTTTTCTCGCGTCGCGGAGAAGATTTGGAAGGTTGGATCGGAGTGAGATTTCGTTGCGGTGAAGTATAGTGTGTGTCGTTGTCGATATAGTCCGTCGGTTGCTACGTTTTGGTGAGACATGGTCAGACGTGCGTGAGTGCGACTCTTGCGGAGTGGACCTCGTCCATTGGTGATTACGACGAATAATAATTTCCTTTAATTCGGGATAATCCTTCCTCGCGATTCCCTCCTCCTCCTTCTTTTCCTCCTCCTTTTCCTCCTCCTTTTCCTCCTTCTTCAAGGAGGATTCGATACTCGCTACATCGATTCGTCGAAGAGGAGTCAGCGAAGAGGACTTGGCTCGTACGACTCGGTGGTGGGAATATCGTATCGTTGTTATTATATAATATACGGTGACGCTTGGAAGAAGAACGAGGGAAAGTGCGCACATACGGCATCTCTAGCCAGAGCAAGAGATTTGAATGCGAAGTTAAGCGGGAATCTTATCCGTCCCCGCGTCGTTCTTTCAGAAGGGTCGTAAGATCCTTCCTCCCCTTCACCTCCAATCTTCGGCCTCGTTCCCCGCGTTCTCCACACCCCTTGCGTTGCTTACTTACCCCCCTCCCCTCCCCCCCTATCAATTCCATCCATCCTCTTTCTCCTCGTGTGTTCTCTACGAGTGTCGCGAAACCGATCTCAGGAAGAGATTCTCAAAGCGTCGATCTTGGCGCCTCCTCCTCCCTCCTTTCTTTTTTCCCTTCTCTCGGAAAAAGAGGAAAGGAAATCCTCGACGATCCACGATCACGCTGTCGTCGTCGATCGCTCGCTGTCGTAACGCTCGCTCGCCTCGACTCGACTTCGAGGTGTCGGACGTCGACGTCGAAGAGTCGGGCCACGATCGAACACGCGAGGGATATCGGTCGGAACGAGCCTCGAAATCCTGCCCGGTGACGGATGAGATTGACGCGCGATGCTTGGATCCCCGTATTTCTGCCACTGACAGAGAGGCAACGTGGTAACGTGCCACGTGCACTTTGACACGCGGTTGTTACGTGCGTAGGGGTTGGATATCCATGTGGCGTGTGGGGGTTGCCTACCGGCGGGCGTTCTTTTTCCCCTATTTTTTCCGTCCCCACCACCGGCCCGGTCCAACCCCTCCTGGAACCACCTGGATCCGGTGTGTCAGCCCCGGTGACGTGCGCAAAAATTACTGAATGAACGGTGACGTCAGCGGCGGCCGGCCCGCGTGAAAAGTGTGCGAGTCCGTGTCAACCTCCCTTTCTCTCTCTCTTTCTCTCTCTCTCTCCCTCTCTTCCTCTCTCCCTCCCTCTTTTCCTCCTCTCTTCCTCTGCTTCGCCTTTTTTCCATCCTGCCATCGGTCGCGGTGTCGCGTGGTCGTTTCGCGAACCAGCCGTTCGAAGGGTTGGAAGGGTTGGAGATAAAGGACGGCCCTTCTCGCCGGCCGTCGCGTTAAATGGATTAGAAACGGAAGGGTTGGTCGCAGCGGCGACGGAGACTCTCCTGGGATCAACCCTTCTTTCACCCACCCTCTCGATCCCCCTTCGATCCAAGAGATCCATCGGTCGATCCGACTACTGACCGTGGCTGAATTTTCTCGGTTGCAGGTGAGGTCGAGGGATCTCGAGGAGGAGGAGGAGGAGGCTGCTCTTGGATCGCGCGTCGATAGCGTTTGCATCGAGGGGCAACGACTCCTTTTGCCCTCCCGACGAAAGAAGAAAAAGAAGAGGAAGGAAAGAAGGAAGAGGAGGAAAGGAGAAATCGACATTTGGGACAGTGTCGCGTCGAAACGATCGGTGGAAGAAACCTATAACCCCTGTGATTTTTTTTTTTTTTTTACCCCTTCCTGGCTCGATTCTGAAGAATCGAGAATCGCGTGGAGAATCGAAGTCGAGCGAGTGGCCCAGTTATGTCGAGTCTGGAAGGCTGACCCAGGAAAAGGCGGGCGGAGGAACGGGATCGCGGGAGGAGAGAATGGGTGGGATGTCGGAGCAGTGAACCGAATGGAAGGATGTATCATCCGGCGTTGTGACTGCCTATGGATATATTCGGCCGTTGCAACGGCGGCGGCGGCGGAAGCAGCACGGTATCCGGAAGCGGCGCTGGCTCGGTGAGGGGGTCCGGCAACGAGTCGAGCTGTGGAACAACGGCGAGCGGTGCCAGCGAGAGCGGCGGAACCAGCGACAGGATGCAGTTGACAGGGGCCTCGGCTCCCGGTGTTGCCGCCTCGCCGGAGTCGGGCGTTTCTCCTTTGACCGATGCCTACACCAAGATGACCAGCGACATCCTCGCCGAGAGGACTCTCGGCGACTTTGTCAGCGAGCATCCCGGAGAACTCGTGCGAACAGGTAGGGAAAGAGCGAAAGAGCGAAAGACACCACGTATGTACGTAACGCACGTTCGATTTCGACCGATCAGGCTCCCCGCACCTGGTGTGCACCGTCCTACCGGCCCATTGGAGGTCGAACAAGACCCTCCCTGTCGCGTTCAAGGTGGTGGCTCTCGGCGAGGTCGGGGACGGTACACTGGTCACCGTTCGTGCTGGCAACGACGAGAATTGCTGCGCCGAGTTGAGAAACTCGACCGCCCTGATGAAGAACCAGGTGGCCAAGTTCAACGATCTGAGGTTCGTCGGGAGAAGCGGGAGAGGTGAGTTAAGAAACGGCGACTCGCTTCCATCATCTTCATCGTTTCGCGAGTTCGTCCAACGATCTTTCTCGATCTCGGTCGACCAGGAAACTCGTGAAATTAGTTGCCGATTGTATTCCTTCCTTCTTCTTCCTCCTCTTCCTTCGTTCGTTCATTCATCGAACAGGGGAGCTTGTTGATCTTCGCCCTTCGCCTTGACGAGCTGCGTTAAGAAAAGGGGAGGAAAGAGGCAACCTCGAAGAAGAATCGAGGCTCGTAGTAAGGGTAGGTCGGGCACGTCGTCTCGGGAGACGACGACGACGACGACGACGACGACGACCCTCGTCGTTTTTCCCTCGCCGGGGAAAAGAATCCTCTAAGTAAGCCTCGTCACGACCTCGAAATTGGACGTTTCGGCAGGGGTTGCCGAGGCGTTGATTGGTGTGCCAGCCGAAACTCGAGGAGGCGACGATGTCTTGGGGTGGGTAATGGGTTTTATTTGTCCGCACCACCACCATCGCCGCCGCCGAGCAACCTCCTCTTTACTTTCCTTCTTCCGAGTCGTCTCTCCCCCACCCCCCTCCCTTCCCCCCGAGAACGGCCTCTCGTTCCACGAGGAGGGGTGGGGGGGAGTGAAAAGGAGGCGACGCCCCACGAAAACGAGGGGGACAGGATATTAATTGAGGTTTCATTTGGGATTTTAATTAACGTTATTACAGGGTTGTTTCGCGTCGCCTGCCGATCGGTCGAGAACCCTCTTCCGACCTACTTCTTACTCTTACCTTGTCTTACCCCCTCCCTCTCCCTTTGTCAAAATTATCCACGGATCGTTCCATTCGGTTGTCGAGTGGAATTGGACTTTTTTTTTTTCTTTTTTTTCTTTTGTTTTCTCTTCCAACGGCGTCGAATTATCAATCGACCGAGGCGAATCGTTATCGTTTACACCAACGCGGTGTTGAAGTTCGTCGGCGCGAGGAGAAAAGCTGAATAGTTTGGGAAGGAGGAATCGGGGATAGAGGGATAGATAGGGTGTTTGGAAACCATGGAATACCCGAATTTTCTATCCGGGAAACGAGGAGGGGGGCGAGCGAATCGTCGACGACCCTCGCGGAGCTCACGGAAACGCGTCAGTCATTTGTCTGGGATTAGCTCTCAATTGTTTTCGTCGAGCGAGGAATTAACATAAGCTAGGATGAAGAATGTAAGAGAAGCGTCTCTCGTCCTGGATTCCTGCGACTTCGTTCCTTCGCCTCCTTGAATATTCCCCGGGACGACCGATGCGCGAATCCCTAATGATCCGCCCGTTTGTCGAACTCGAGGATTCATTCCTCTGTACGTGGCCCCTCATCTGGAGGGGCTTCCGTTCTGCTTCCACGAGTATTATCCTCGAATTCCCGTGAGGGAGTGGGAGGAGAAAATTCTGGGAAAAATTATCCCCCTCCAAGATCGAAGTCGCGAATCGCGATCCGCGTCGTCGTTTCGTTGATACAAATTTTATTTTACGAATATTCGAGGGTGGAAAGGGTGGAGATGTTGTCGACGTAGACACGAGGTTCGTTCGCGTGTGCAAAGTTGAAGGGTATCCCATCTGGCTGGTAGGGCTGAAACTATAAGCGCCCAAATGATCTATCTCGTTACAGAGCTTAGGCTTGAAGGGGGTTGGAAACGATTCAGACTTTGCCGCGATGGAGCCGGCATTACGGATGAACGTGCGGGAACAGGGTCATAGCTTATCATCGACGTTCTTGAGCCATGCGCTTCTGGTTTCCGCTTCGAGCCAAAAGAGACTATTTCTATCCCAAAAATCGTGATTCGAACGGAGAAGAAGACCTTTCTTTCTTTCTTTCTTTCTTTAACCGCGAGACTCGATTTACCAAGAAAAATCGTAAATGTAATGTCGTGCGATATTGGAAGAAGAAGGATTTGTACGAGATCGAGGAGGAATATTTCGAGGCGATGATTTTTGGAGAAAATTCGAACGTTCGTCCTGACATAATCGATTCGGTATTATCGTGTAAAACAACGCGTTTCTCGTTTGGCGAAAATTGAAATTAATTAGTTAACTCGACGAATATACGATACACGTATCAGGATCCACATTTTCCCCGAGAGTTAACGCGATCATTATCGGGGGAATCGAGATCGTTCCGCTTCGTCCCCTTAATATTTGTCCACAACGATTCTTTCCCTCGAATTAAAAATCGATTTCACCGTGCGCTCTCTCGAAATTCTAAATAATTCCCTCCCCAAATTGCGGAGGAGCAGAGCCGTTCCTCCTAGTCGAAGAGATATTCGAGATGGAAAGGGATATTCGATTTCGAAGAAGGGAGGGGCGAAAATTTTAATCAAGCAAGCCATAACGTACCACACACGCGGTGGTAATAAACGGGCAGATTTAAAAGATGGAAAGAAATTTCGAAGGGAGGAGGAGAAGGAAAAAAAAAAAAATTGCCGTTGGAGAATGGGTTTAACGCCGGCGGATGGAAAGAAAGGGTGGCGTTATCGGGGGTGTGACCTTTAACGGTTCGACGGCGACTGGCACCAAGGGTGATACCTAACTACGTGTGCCGAGCTGGCTGTGCGGAACCATCGACTCGAGCAGCGGGTGAAAAGGTTTGCCAGGGTTAGGTCATAGGAAGGGATGCCGTGACTTGCAACAAAACTGACGGGACTCGCCCCCGTTCGAAAACGAGAAGCTCGCGTGGTGAACCACCGTGTGGCCACGCTCGACACTCGCCATTATTCCCTCCATAATCTTTCTCCCCGCGTTCTTTTCTCATTCGCGCTAAATCTTATCGCCTAAGAAACAAACCTTTGAAACAACGTCCGTCAAACGTTTCCACGAACTCGTGCAAATTTTTTTATGTCTGAAATTAGGTAAATTGTCCGTTTCCTTTCGTTTCGTCTATTGGAAGGTGAAATGATATCCTAATTTTAATATCCATTTATTTATTCGATAGACTGAGATTATAGTTAGAGAATTAGGCATAGAAATGCATGGAATGCAGAATTTGACGAATCAAAAGTTCGTCTAATTCTAAGAATGGAGTTTATATAATTTAACGGAATTTAACTTTTTACTTTTCTCTTCCCTCTTTCTCTCTCTCTCTCTTTTTCGAAGAAGCGTCGATACTTGAAGGGAAGTTGGACGCGATAGCGTGATACGAGTCGTATAACGGTGATTCAGTTTTAGAATCGTGTGTAGCGTTAGGAAGGGGTTGGAGAGAGAAAAAGCCACGCGATCGGCGATTCGCTCGGCGAGGGAGAGAGAGAGAAAAAGAGCGAAAGAGGGTGCACGTGGAATTGCGGTGAACCTCTGCGTGTGCGACCACCGTGTTCTGCGTGCCACCGCTTTTTTTTTAACATTGTCCCCTCTTTAACGAACGTTTCATCAAAACTCGCGTGATTTCCAAGACGTGTCCCCTTTGAATCATCCTCCTCGTCCTTCTCCTTGCCTTTTAACATCACGTGGCAACAGATTAACATTCCATTTCGACGTTTTCAACTTTGAATTTTTTCGAAAAATTGTATTACTCGTGGAAAAGTTTCGAAGGAAAGATCGTTGTTTTCTCTTTCGTAGCGACGCCCTCTGATAGGCTTTTCGACACAAGCGGACGCAACCACCCCTACAGGTCGGTCGCGTTGGCTGGCTGACCGTCTCGCCGTCCACGACGCCCTCGATACATTACCGACGGTTAATTCGGTTACCGCCAAGTTTCACGGGTCGGCCAGCCACGTTTCGGCCGCGAAAACTTTCGTTTCGATCATTGATTGAAATGTGGAAAAGGGAAGGAAAAAAAATACGAAAATAATTATTTTTCCAGGGAAGAGCTTCACGTTGACGATTACCGTGTCCACGACCCCGCCGCAAGTCGCCACGTACACCAAGGCCATTAAAGTAACCGTGGACGGGCCGCGAGAACCGCGATCCAAGACCAGTGAGTATCACTGTAAGCATTGCTGAAATTATTTATTATTTAAATTACATCTCGTTAATCATAATTTTCAACTCCGTTGGTCGGGGACAATTTTATACAGATCCTCGAACAATTAAAAGATACGAGAATCGTTCAAAAGCGCGAGAATCTCGATTATTATTTTTCGACCATCTCCTCCATTTATCGAATACCTGATACATACAGATCCTGATTGTACGAATAAATAACCCAAGATCCAAATCCAAAATGTTCGAACATCTTCCCATCCCCAAACCGTTTTCGATCTTCCACTTTCGATTTAAATAGAGAAAAAAAAAAAAGAAAACCGAAGCACGAATAACAGAAACGCAATTCATTCAGAAACGAAATTCGTTCTACGCATCATTACTTTCTGAACGATCCTCGATACTTCGCGACAACATTTTACAACATTTATCCTCGATGTATCCCGCCTGTTGAAAGGATTCATGGCGATCGTTAGAAGAAAAGAACGTTAGAACGGAGGAGGAGCGGAGATCGCGGACGTAACTCGCGACGGGGAGGCGTCCTCGGCCGCAAGTTGGGGAATGGCCCCGGGGCGGGCGTGCGGTTCTCTCGCCGGGTTAAGTTTCGCGCAATTGCCATTATTTATAACCACGGCCGGCCGCCATAACATTGATAAAGGGCTGCGGTGTTTAGCCGCGGAGATATTGTGCGACGCCTCCCAAGTTTCCTCAGACACACGCACAGAGAAAGAGAGAGAGAGAGAGAGAGAGAGAGAGTGTGCCCACCACCTTCCTCAGACGCACGATCACCCTCCTAGCCGTCGGTTATTTCGCGGCGACGCGTGTCAACGGGCTCCTCTCCGACCAACGGAGGCGGTATTACGTCGGAGAATCGAAATTTACCGCCCCCTCTCCCCCAATCCTGTTCGTTAATCTACCGCCCAGACGAGAGATTGAGCCATCTCAAGGAAGTTGGGATTGGGGGGAGGGAAGGGGGAGAAAGTTATCGAGCGTCGATACGGACGAATAAGGATCGACGCGATTCTCCGTTAAAGAAAGAATAAGCTTCTTGACTTCGAAGCGACGCTAAATTAGGATTCATCTCCGTCGTAAAAATAGTTCGAATGGCTTGGTTGTAAGCGGGGCTGCTTATCGAAGATTGTTTTCCGGGATGTAACGCGACGTGGTTTGGATCGATTTTATTTTGGAGGACGGGCGGCGCGTTACATCTGGCCCGAAAGAAAATATTTGCAGCGGAACGGAGGGATGGATTGTCGTGGGGTGGGGGCGCGGCACGAGATAAAAGGATTGACGGGCGTTGCGGGTGGCCGGATCGGCGTTTCTTTAAACGAGCGACGCTTCCTCGGCTTTGACACGCTCCCTAATTTTATTATCCTCCGGAACCGTGACACCGTGAAACGAGTTCCCAGACACCCGCAACTCCTCCCCGCCTGTTTCTACTTTCGTTCTATTCTTCGCGGATTAAATTCAATCGAGTAGCGGGCTAATTAATTGATCGCTGCTTCCACGCTTCGAACGCTTTCCGTCCTATTCCGTCGCGGGAACCGCTCCCCTAATTCAATCGAATCCTTCGACGAAAAAGATCGACAACATCTTCTTTCGCACGATCAAGAAGAGGAAGTATGTGTGTGGACAGCGTCAGTGATAAAAATAAAATCCATCTTTCGAAATTAGCAGGAAATTAGATCCATAGTTTTATTGGGAAGAAATCCAGATTCCAAGAGAAAGAAAGAATACGGAGACTTGTTCGACTTTCGTTCTTCGAAATCAAGTATGGACATAAATGGAATCAACCAGAAGTGGCCATTTCCCTTCTCTCGAATCGATTACAAACAAACTCGCGAATCATTGGATCAATCTTCTTCCATCCGGCTAACCCTACGAATTTGAAGATCCCACGAACAATCAAACAAATTCCTCGATCGTACGAGCTCTACTTCCATCCTATCTAAAGAAAAATCGAGGGAAAAAACTTCTTCACTCTTCAACACGAAAACGAAACGACCATGGAGAACGAGAGGAGAACGAGAGGAGATTCCTTCCTCCGCTCGAAATTTTGTTTACAAAACAAACTGTTCCGCCGAGGCATGAATCATTGGACCCTTCTTTCACTCGGCCAGCGATAAATAATCAGCCCTATGAATTCTATTCGAAAGAGGCGGGGTCCTAGGAGGAGGAGGAGGAAGGAGCGGGACCCGATGGCGGAACGAGCGCGCCTCGTTCGAACTGGAGCGCCGCTTCGAGGGTCGTAATTAATTAAACAAGCAATTCATTACACATTCTACCCTCGTCCCATAGCCAAAGGTGGCCGCCGCAGAAAGAGGATGCAGGGCTAAGGGAATTGATCGAGAGCGTGAGAGGAGGGGTCGGTGGCGCGAAGGATGCCTCCGGCGGAAGTTGGAAGCCCCCGAAATCCCCGAGTCGCACATGCACACCACGATCCACGCTTTTGTTAGAAAATAGCGATGCCCCTTCCCCCTTTCGTCTAGGGAGTGGAGAGGGGTCGAGGAAACGGGAACGAAATGAGGAGCTGTCGCGGCCAGCTGCTAACTCTCGAGAAATTCCCTGGCAGTCATCGGTCTGCACGAAACGCGAAAGGGTGTCCAATGAAATCGATAGCGACGCGTCTGGAGACGGTGTCCACTTGCCCCCTCCCCTTGGAAAAATTCAGGGACACGAAGTCGTCCGTTGGAGCGATCCTTCGATCGATCCCTTGGATCTCTTTCGAAGGGAATACGAGAACGATTGACGGTGAAACGAGAATCTCGATTTCGAAAATATTCGAAATGGCTACGCGAGAAATTTTGACGGAAGGGAGTTAAAGAGTTTGGAGAAATTTGTTCGTTGGCAATGGAAATATACGCTCGTTTAACGATAGATATCTCGTTAGCTTCTCTGTTCCGGCGAGGCGCCCTCATTGTGTCCCCGGGATCGAGCGCCGTACCCTATTCAGCAAACCGGCGGGAATTTCGGGTTAGAATTAGGGCTTCGATTGGATTATCAGGACGACGGATTGGGGGAGAGGAAGTCTCTGTCTCTGCCTCTCTCTCTCTTTCTCTGTGCGCGTCTCTGCGCTCCCTTCTGGGCTTGGTCTCCGGTGGCGGTGGTGTGTCGGTTCGTAGATTTCGACGGTTCACGTAGGAAAGCCGGTCTGTCCACGTGTGAGGCAGACCGCTGCTGGCCTAACCTAACCTAACCTGACCAGCGTGGGCAGCAGCAGAAGCCTGGTCGGATAGGACGCACCGGCAGCCGCCTGTTGGGACGTCTTTAATTGGGTTGGCGACACCGTACCCGGGAAATAAAATGAATCGCTGCCTCGACGCGTCTCTTCTTCCTCCTCCTCCTCCTCCCCCGTTTCGGTTTCGGCCCTCGTTCGAAACTGCTGCTCGCGCAAGATGATCGGGGGAGAGAAGAGGGAAGAGGCGGTGGCTCGCCCGGGGAAATAAAATCGGCCGCCGATGAATGCGAATCGAGGGACTTTGGGGCAAGGCGGAGTGGACAGACGAGGGGGGAGGGGGCAGGATGAGGAAAAGCTGCTAGAACTCTCCCGAGAGTTTCGAGGTGGTCGAGTTTCGGGGGAATTTTTGGGTGGAAGGAGAAACGGGATTCAGCCGCGCGATCTGAAGGAAATTTTAGGGAATCGATCGCCTGGAATCGATAGATAGTTGATGGTAATTCGATTGGAGGGTAATTGGCCAATTACCGGGGAAAGGGGAGAGAACGCTTTTTTCCTTTTTTTTTTTTTTTTTTTTCCTTTTTTCGATCATCCCATCCGCGGGAATAATCGAATCGAATCGAATTCTCCTCGATCCGATTCGATATTTCATTCCCCACATCCATCGAGAAATTTGGATACTCTTTTTTCCTTGGAAAAAATCGAGAATCGATTGGAAATGAGGAGATAAGAAGGATTGACGCGGTTGTCGTAGGTCCAGTGGACAGGCGCACGGTTGATCGCAGTGTTGTCTCTTTTAGGGCAGCAGCAGCAGTTCCACGCGTTCGCGTTCGCCTCGCAGAGGGGCGGCCCGTTTTTCGCCTCGCCGCTGGTGGATCCTTTGCAACCGTTGCCGAATCCCCTTCAGCCGCTACCGAACCCGCTCCAGCCGCGGGATCCGCTCTCCTCCTTCAGGCACGCGATGCCGGCCAACTGTCAAAGTAAGTACGACTTTGCTTCCTTCCATCCACGCTTGATCGACGCTTCCATCTTTCTTCTCTTTCTTTTTCTTTTTTTTTTTTTCGTGTCGATTTCGCTCTCTCTACAACAATATCCATGCCCGAGAATCAACTTCTCGAACCAACCCGAAATTTCCGCAAATATAAAATTTCATCGAAGATATCGTGTAAGAAGCGAGGATTGAAGCTGGCAATATTTCCAAACAGACGCCGCTCCCCTCCTCCTGGTCTCGTCTCGAATGTAAGCAGAGAGAGAGAGAGAGAGAGAGAGAGAGAGAGAGAGAGAGAGAGAGAGAGAGAGAGGTTTTAGGCTCGCAAGAGCTAGCTTCTCGACTCTAGAGGCGGAAACCGCAAGCCTGTTCAAAGCTAGATTAAATATTATATTAAAGGGGTTGCCACGGGAGCGGCGGCTGCCTGGTCGGGGATGGCTCGTCGTTTTGGCCTGGTAACTCTCTCCCCCTCCTCCCCCTCCCTCCTCCCTTCTCGCGTTCTCTTCACGTTTCCAACAGGAGAATTCGAGAATTTCTACGCGAAAATTTCATCGCGCTACCACCGTTTCACCGTCCGTTTCTTCTCTGTATCGGTTCCCGTGTTAGGATCCTCACAAATTCTTCTTCCAGAGATAGATAGTTTTCGCCGTGACGCGATTTCTTTTTCTTTTTTTTTTTTTTTTTCCTTTCTCTTTTTTTTTTTCTTTTTTTTCTTGTTTCCAAAGCGAGCGAGCGAAGAGGTTAGGAGCGAAGGGATAGATTTTCGCGGTTTATCCGCGAATTTATTATCTTCTCGCGGAAGAAATCTCGCGTGGGAGAAATATTATCGGGCGAAGGTAGGGGCGTAGAGTCGTTTTAATGAGTCGCCTTCGGATCCAAAAGCGATAAATTCCTCGATAAAGTATCCAAGCATGCCGGGTATTTCCTTTATTAATTTTTTTCCCGACATCGGACATCGATAATTCGCTTCGGCGTTTTCTCGATCCACCGCAGCGCTTGCCCCTTCAACATCTTTTAATTTCGCGACGTCCAACTGTCCCCTGATCAACGCTATCCTGTAACACGCGTACGTAGCTTTTTAATCCTTTTTTAACGAAATTTAGAAGAAACGCGCGATTTAAACGAAAAGGGGAGGCGTCGATCGAAATATTGCCGCCCCCTCGATTCGATCCCTCGCCGAAAATGCAGACGGTATCGAACGAAATTGCCTGTAAATCGAGGCCTGGAAATTAATCCGTGGTGGCGTTAATCAAAGGTTCTCCTTACGTCGCGATATCGGCCGGCCAAGTTTCCAACCTCCCCTGTCCCTGCTTGAAAATTGAACGAACGAACGAACGACGTGAAAGCAGATGCTGGCTGCTCCACGCTATTTAGGGTTAGCCTCTCTCGTCAACGACGGCCCACTGGCGATGCTCGAGCTCTCTCGGTTATTTGAGTTGGCCGGAGGTACGCGGGGGATGACCAACCGACCCTTTGATCTCGAACGCCCTCCCTCCCCTCGTTTCCTGTCCGCCTGCACCCCTCTCTCTCTCTCTCTCTCTCTCTCTCGCTCTCTCTTCCCCTCGCTTTCCAGCCCCTTCAACCCCCTCACGGAACTCATTGGAAAATCTATCGGGGGGACGGTACGCCTGTACGCCGCAAAAATAAATCCAAAGAGGGCGCAAAAGAAAAGCGATCCCCGCCTGTATTCGCCGGCAAACCGATCTTCTCGATCTCTCGCTCTCACTCATCGTTCCATCTCCATATTTTCCTTCCCTCCCTCGCCTCCTCTCGTATCGATGTTCGCGCTTGCACAACAACCGATCCGATCATTCTTTGCCTTTTCCCTCGCTCGGCCAGCACGCTCGCTACGCAAGCGCGGATTCAAGCGCGATGCGATTATTCGAGTTCTCGCTTCGCTTTTCCGCCTTTCGCTTATTCGATTGTATTGTATATGTTCTCCTGCTGTGCTTCTGCTCGATCTCTCCCTCTCTCTCTCCCCTCTTCCTTTTGTCTTTCTTGTAAAATTCTTAAAATCCGCAGAAATCCTCCCCCCAAAGAAAGTACTTGGATCTCGAATACGATACGATGAAATGATATCGAATCTCGAGAGAAAATGGAGGGGGGGAAATACAGAAGAATTTTTCATCTCTGACACGATCTGTTCATTCAGACATGTCCCAGTTCGGTCTTACTGCGAGCAATTCATGGGGATACGGGAGCACGGCCGGCTACGCTGGTTACCTTCCCGGCCCTTTGTCGTCGTGCGCGGCACAAGCGTCGTTCCCACCCCCGCCACCGCCACCTCCGCCACCACCCCCGTCGTCCTCCTCGTTGGCGTCTTTCGCGGGCGCCGCGTCTATGAACACGCCAACGGCGCCCGATTCGACGGCGGGATCCACCGTTACTTCCGGTACCGGTGCAGGATCCACGGCACAGCAGGATGCGTTCTCAGCGGTGTCATCCCGTAAGTTTCATTCTCTGTCTTTCTCTCTTTCGTTCCTCCTCACTCCTCACTTCTCACTCCATTCACCTATCGCGCAATCGATTCGCCCTTTTCTCATGCTTCTGTGTTTCGTCGCACGCGGCCAATCCCTTTTCGATTCCGTCCCGACGAATCCCTTTTTCAGTTGAGTTAAGTTAAGGGAGTTTTTGTTCGGTGAAAATTTGGCAAAAAGAAAAAAGTGCTGGGAAGAAAATTTTAAATTTTAAGTCTCCTGGAATCTTTCCATGGTTTCTTCTTTTTCTTCTTTTTTCTCCTCTTCGTTTCTTTTATTTCTCGATCGCAATTTCTACAGTACAGTTTTAGGTTTAATTTATTTCACGCACGGATAATTCTCTAACGCGTAAACCGCCCGCTTCCTGTTAAACTATTGTATTAATAGTTGATCGGCCGATGTTTACGATACGTAGTCGAGTACATTTGTAATCGATATCGCAGCGCTGCGTCACGCAATCAGGGACAATCGATGAAATTAGTTTCGTTAGTATATTAGTGTACTACGTGCTACCGATTCCAAACTTCGAGTCGCGATAAAAGTCTCGTTTAAACTTTGATGAAATACATTCGTGTATAAGACGAGATAAAAATTCACGAGTACAGCGATTCCGATCTTTGAAACGCACCTCGTCGATATCTCGAGACACGGAAAAATATTGGCCTCTATGAATGGCCCCAGTCGTTGACGTGACCCACATTTTTTTCCCCCCGTGTAACGCGTACGGCGCGATAGTGAATAGCAAAAAAAGGAAAGAAAAAAAGTGGCGACTGTGCAGTGAGCAGCGCACGTGGCGCGCGAGCTTGCGATAGGTCGACCGTGACGAGGCGCGAGCGAGAGATCCGAGCGTGCGACGAGCACGGACGTATAACTCGGGATATTTAAGAAAAAAATTTATTGTTCCCTTGGAACGAGGCGAATATCTCGGGAAGCGAGAGTCGGATCGAGGCGAAACAAGAACGAATACGTTGCCACGCATTCGGCCATCGCGTGGATTTTAAATTTGCAAATATTTTTGCCTCCGTCGTAACAACGATTACCGATCGATTGAACGTTTGTTAATTTCGAATACGGGATATTGGGGGGAGGGGAGGGTCTACCGTTAGAGATACGAGTTTAGTTTGGAGGGAAATTAGTAATAGCTGTCGCGTTTCGCGTTTCTCCGTGTATTCCACTGTTTACGATTGTAATTATATTTCATAGTCGAAACACATATCGGAATATTATATCGCCAGCCGCAAAATGGAACACTTTTCATTCGTTATTACATGGTTGATAATACTTTGCTTTAGCAATTATTCGTCTCTCCCTACGCGTTTCGATTTCTGTACGCTGAAAAAGAAAAATCTCTCTTATTTATTTCTCCTTCCAACTAAATCTTCCCCCTCTTCCTCCCAATTCTTATCCTCTTGCCCACACAGTCTTCCCGTTTCACAGTTTTTTAAAGTTGATTAAAAAAAAAAAAACGCAACGGTCGATCTCTCTTTTTCTTTTCCAAACGAAACCAGTGGTCCCAGACTCGACGACGACGGGCCAGTCCGACCCGCTCGACCCGTTAAGCAGCCTGATGTCGGGTACGCCGAGTCAGAGGTACCAGGACTACGTGTCACCCAGATCCCTGTCCACGGACTCGAGCACGACGGAGAGCCCCGTTCACGAGGAGCAAGGATTCGGACAGAATTACGGCAACTACTTCCCGACGCCCGGCGTCCTGCCCAGCATCCTCTATTCCCAATTGTACGGGAACCAGTTCCAGAATTCGGAGAGTCCCGAGCAGAGAGCGGTGGCGGACAGTTGCAGCGTGAGGCAGGAGGAAGTGAGACCGGACAACAACGTGTGGAGGCCTTATTAAGATCCAAGAGAAGAGAACTCGTTTGTTGTGAGGTCGTGAGTTGGAGAGAATTTTTCGTGATGGAAAAATCTCGTGTCTCGTGGACGATTGATAACGATATTGGATCACTTGGGGAGACGAGCGAACTGTGATCGGATGTGTGGATGTGTGGGGACTCGAGGTGTTGTTGTTCGAACGAGCGAACGGGGGAAAAAAAAAAAGAAAAAAAAAGGAAAAAAAAAGAAAAAAGAAGAGAAAGAACTAGTTACTAGTGGGCATTAAAAACAGAACGGAAAAAAAAAAAAAAGAAGAAACGCGTGTGCGCGTTCGAAGAACTCGTCACGCGATCGGATGATGATTTTGTTTTCTTGTTTTTTTTTTTTTTTTTTCTTTTCGCTGATTGTGTCTCGACGGTTGAATCTCTGAAGAGGGAGAAGAACCGATTTGTAATTAACCGAGTGTGCCGATGTGTGAACGGGTGAACGTTGGCTTGCTTGCTTGTTGGTTGGTTGCCCCCACGGTGATGGTGACGATGATGATGATGTATATAGAGAAACACTGTACATAGATAGAGCATTGTCGTTTCATCGAGTCATTCATCACTGTCGTCGGACTGCGCGACGTGTGTGACGACTTGTGTCGACGGGTTGCGTCTCGGAGGATGGCTGGTTGAGCCGATTTCGTTGAGCTATCCCGCTGTGTGTCCCGCTTGTCGCTCGCGAGGGCGAGAATAATGTATCGTTTCTTTTTTTTTTTTTTTTTCTAAACCCAATTCTCGCATTTCGATTTTTTTTTTCTTTTTTTTTTTCTTCTTAAATAGCGATATAATAGGCGATCAAGATTCCAGAGAACGAATAAATTAATCAGCGAGCGTGCCAGTGTCTCGAGAGGAGATGAAGATTTTTCAAGAAGATCTCGACCAGTCATCGAGCGCACCCGCTAACGTAACGTTTTCTTATTTCTTTCGATTACGATGTTTCTTTTTCGTGATAGGATTAACGCGATTTTTGATCGATTTTTGAATGCGGGCTCGTGTGCAATATCGCCGATCGCGATTCTCGCGAGTTGAGAAACCGTGCGAACGAGAATCGCGTATCGGTCGAATCGAGAGACGAATACAGGAGTGAAATCGAATCGCTCGACACGAAGGAGGGAAATCTTCATCGTTCGCGATTTCTGAGCTGAGAAAGAGAGAGAGAAAGAAAGGGAAAAAGTTCGTCGCTTTTGCATCGAAATTCTGGAAGTGAAATGAAAATAGAAAAAAAAAAAAAAAAGAAGAAAAAAGAAAGAAAAAAAAGGGAAAAAATGAGAAAACTCGCGCCACAATCTTCGAACGGATATTGCGTCGCGATGTTGATCGATCGATTGAGATCGTCGATGACGATTTATTCGTTTTTTTCTTCGAACTAACGACGTCTACATTCTGCCCCTTCCACTCGAAAGAACGATGATTTCAGATATACATATCTACCGACCTATTGTTATCGTAGTTTTTGACCGAGTCGAAATAAAAATGTATTTCAAAATATGACTGACGACGTGCGTCATTTTTCCCTCTGCATATTTATTTCTTCCTTTTTCTTCCAAATCTTGTCGTCTTTGCATTAACCCCTCTTTCTTTTTATCGATATTTAATCAAATTCTAATATTAGATATTACAAATATTACGAATATTACAATCTCCTTTTCCGGATTCTTTTTCTTCCAGATTTCCATTCCAACTCACTCGATCCCGAATATATCAACGATACGAGGGAGCTAATTAAAAAATCGTCTCTCTCCATTTCCGTTGTCCATTACACGCCCGAAAGCTGGTTTAACTGGGCAATCCTCGATGGGCGACGATGTTGTTCGACATGGTGTACAAAAAAAAAAAAAAAAAAAGAAAAAAGTACGTAAGATCCGAGGTCTCGGTTAATGACGGGCGTCCCTGATGCAAAGGGTGGCGCAGGTAACGATACGAATCTCTACAAAGCCTTCCCCAAAGCCGACAGTTGCAAAGGATCTGCTCGGCGGATGCTGTGCGTGTATGTATGTAAATTCGCAAAAGATTTAATTAAACGTAGTCCCCGGGAGAAGATTCCCCCGGGTTGGTTTTGCCTTCTCTCCCGAGCTGCCTCCATGCTAACGAATACGCGTTTCGAATTTAATGTTTCAGCGGTTCGGTTCCTTCTCGATCGGCCATCCTCCTTAATTAACTCGTTCGTGGATTATGAATCTATCTCTGGCTTCAAGAAAAAAAGAAAAAAAAAACCGGGACAAAAAGACGTTCGTATCTTCTTCCTTCACGATTTTTCGTTCGCCAATTTTGATTATAACTGATCTTGGGATAATTTTACTTTTCTTCCTTTTTATTTTTCTGGCGATAAAAGACACACGCTTCTCCAAAGATATTCCCCTCTATCTTCGTCCATCTTACGTCCAGATCCACGTGATGAGCGAAAGCGCATTCCACGTATCTCGTGGATTAAAAAAAAAAAGAGCGGGATAAATGCCGCGTAAATCGGCGACGGAAGAGCGATGTTTATCGGTGTGTTCGCGAAGGTGAGCGTTGCAGCAAGGGTGGTGGCAGCTCGTCGTTTATGCGCGGTGTCGGCATAATGGAGCAGAGCGGAGCGGAGCACGGATAATGGAGTATGAAGAATAGCGTGCGGTGACCGTCGGTTATAGTCTGTGCTGCACCCTTCCTCCTTCCCCCTCTCTTTCGCCCCCCTCTCCAACGCGCGACTTTTCTCTCCTCGTCCCTCGCCCGCGCCATTCTTCTTTCCGTCCCTCTCTTTCCCCCATCCATCCATCCAGGAAAGGGAACGAGGGAGAGTGGGAGAGAGAGAGAGAGAGAGAGGGAATACAACGGTGGAACGTTTGTTGGCCGTACCGATTTATCGCGCTGCAGAGTCGAGCCGCATTACCGATTGCCGGTAAATTCAAACCGTGTCATCGAGGAGGCCAATTTTTCTTGGACGAGCTCTGTCTTCTTGGAGATCGGCCGCGGTCTCGTAAATCTCGGCCCCTGTCCACCACCTTTCTCTCCTATTGGGTTTATTGTTTTGTGCGATCGCAAGAGTCGTTTCCTCTTCTCTTCGATTCCCGGCCAAGTGCGATTTTGTTTTGTTTTCTCGTCGAGGGAAACAGGCTCGATTGTAAATTACCGGGACGGGAGAGGGGATATCCTTTGTGCTCCTTTCGAATCGAGTCGAGTTACCCGTGTGTCGATCGTATTTATTAATCCGCAGTCTCTACCTGGCCCCAGTATTCTCGATTTATATTCGCATCCCTTGGATAATAATCGTACGAAGGATCGAATCGAAGAAATTGTCCATGACACGATGAGTCGAGTCTTTTTTGCAAAATTTGATCGCGAGATCAGTAGATAAACGTTCAAACGATCGTTAAATGACTCGAAATTTGAATTTGAGAATTCCATCTAATACTATTTGAATCACAAGTCAAGTATTTCTTTCCCGATTTGTATTTCACTTTGATGACTTTTCCAAAAATTTGATCACGAGATTGACAGACAGAAGTTTCAAACCGATCGTCCAAGTCAAAATCTATGAATCGTAATAAATCGATCTCGTCGTTTTTGCTTCTCCTTGGGGAAAATTTGATCATCGGTTTATACACGATTAAACAAGTTTCGTACGACGGTTATTTACGATGGAAAAACGGGAACGAAAAATGCCCCAGAGCCCCACATACCAGTTGGATCGAACACGTAGTGGCGGTGCATAGAGCAAGTTGGTTGAGCACGCATAGAGCGCACGTGGCGTTCACCGTAAACGTTCGTTCGGCTTGGCAAGCGGGAAACGAAAGGGTTGGGGGTGGGTGGTGGTCGTTACACGCACCGGTCACTGCCACCCCCGTGGCTATCGCCAGCCGAGCCTCCCCCATGCAAAATCACCCTTTGTCCCGCTCTCGATAGGAAATTACTTTTTGTCCGTCGATTACGGGGTGAATTTTCGGACAACGAGACCCGATCATTTCGAACGAGATACGGCTTTGGTCCGAGATATTCGCGAGAAGGGGAGGAGGAGGAAGAGAGGAGGGGAGGGGGGGTGTCCCGGCTTCGTTACCGCCACCGCTCGCCTCCACCCTTCCCTCCACCACCCTCCTCGCGTTGAATAAATCGTGGGGCCAAGTAACGGTAACTCGATAATGGAACCGCTTTGAATTTTCTCCTCCTCCTTCCTTATATTCTTCTCGCTCGAGACGGTCTCGTCTATTTTTCGTCTATCGTCCCATTCCCATTTTCGTTTTTATCAATTTTACATCGCGTGTAATATTTTTCTTTTCTTTTCTTTTCTTTTCTCTCTTTTTTTTTTCCAATTCATATTCACAAACATTTTATCAAAAGGAATGACGCTTATATAGTTCATGACGATCTTTGATGGTTTCTTAATGAGAGCGAATACATTCACAATGTTATTATTCGTTAATCGTTTGGATCGTTGGAAGGAATAAGCGTCTTTTCAATCTTCTTTATTCTTTGGAAAAAGTTCGGCGCGAGTTGAACTGAGTATAATCGATATCTTTAACCGAGCTGGCTTCCTTCCTACTTCTATTTTCCAGGTTTCTAATTTTTTTCAATATCGAAGGTGTTAAAGTTGGAAAGAATTGGTTGAGAAAGGTTATCCAGCAGAAAGTGGTTAAACCAAAAGACCAAAAATGGTAATCACCGTGAAGTCGCACGATGTTGAGGGGTTGGAAGAAGGAGGGAGGGGTGGGCGAGGCGGCTGACGGATCGCGGATCGGGCAGAAATAAGTAAGACTTGACGAAGTGCGCCCGCGGGGCTGCAACCCTTGATTACCGAGATCTTCATCTACATGCTAAACATCGTTCCTCGGCGCTGTCTTGAATACTCTTGTACTTACGTATGTATCTAGATTCAGAGAGTCTGGCTGCGCCCACCACCCTCTGTCTTCCTCCGCCGAGTTCTCTCCATCTCCCCGTCCTCCCCCCTCCCTCCTCCTCCCTCTCGGCGCCTACGGAACACATTCACGTACCATCTATATGATGTTTGCTTAGATTAAATTAACCGACCGTGAACCCATCCTTTGTTCTTCCCGCTGTCGGCCCACTCCTTCCTCCTCCCCGCCTGCCAGTTCCCTGCGAGAGAGGGTGAACCGAGGAAAAGAAAGAAAAGAAAAAGAAAAAAGAAAAAAAAAGAGCCGCTCCCGGAGGGAAAATAGTCGCCGCCGTCGTCGTATTTTAAATTTTCGTCGTCGTAATTTCGAATTTCGTGTCGAAATGTTTTAAAGAAACATGCGGTTGGATCGATATTTTTTATTCTTTCTCGTAGATATAGATAGGTTTTTTAGAAGAACTCGAGAGGCGAGGAAAAGTTTTCTTTTCGTCCAAGGCGCCATCCTTCTTAGTGGCGAAAGTGCGTACTACGGAGGTTTCTTAAAAGGAGGCGCCACTTCTTTAAGAAAGTCGTCTTATTCTTTTCCTTTCTTACCGACTCGAGTCTCCGAATTCTTTCCAGTTTCTTTTGGTAAATTCTGAGGCGAGAAGGAACGATAAAAATTTTCGTTTCTTTTTTTTTTTCTCGAATATTTTTTTTATCGAATCTGGATTTCTCTTTTCTTCTCTTTTCGTCTATTCTTTTCTCAACTTGATGTTAGATGAAAAAAAAAAGAAAAAGAAAAGAAAAATAAGAAATTTTGCTCTTTCGTCGCGTCTTTATTTCTTTTTTATAAAATCGATATAAGATTCTTTTGTACTGTTACAATAAAAGGTAAGAATAACAGTTGCGTTATGGCTAATTAAAAAATAAAATTTGTTTTTAGGCTGTATTTGCGTAGTTGGACGCTGTTCTTTACCGACTCCCTCGCAAGCTACCTTACCACGAGGGTGGAGACTACTTTCTTAAGGAAGGCGAGAAGAAAGAGGGTGAGTCTTCTTAAATGTCTTTGCCATCTTACTCGCTTGAGGGCGACACTGGTATTACGTTTCGAAAAAGAACCAAAAATATTTCTTCTCTTTGGTAATTTAAAAAATTTTTTCATTACAAAAAAAAAAAAAAAAAAAAAAAGATAAAAAAACAGGAGAATTATTCCCGTCGCGTATATACAATTTTCTAAATCTTAATCGAATACTTTTCGATTATTTATCAGCTTTCGAACTTTATTCGTTTCGGATTAATTCGTTGCAAGAAAATGAAATTCTTAAAAAAAAAAAAAAAAAAAAATTGTGAAAAATTACTCGAAAATAATCGTAACCCGAGATCGCGTATCGAAATTCCGCGTACGGAATCACGCGAAGAAAGAAAGAATCTCGTTATTAGGAAATATAAGAGCAGCTTTTCCCTTTTGATATTTGCATCTGAAACGAGCAGGTAAAGTACACGAGATTTCGCAAAGGGGCAGACACTCGAGAATTCCCCTCCCTTCGGCCTTCTTCGAAAGTGCTCCCAATTATTTTCCTCCCGTCTCTCGTGATTTCTTCGCCCTCTCCTCGAATTGATGTTCAATTTTTTATCTCCCATTG